ACCGTACTTCCAAGATGGTTTGAGTAATGGTCTCACTTTTCCAGCTAAGAGGTGTCATGGAAAGCCTCCCCCAGCAGTAAGTGGAAGAGTGCTGAACCCATAGGACCACAGGAGAGCCTGGGCAGGGGTGCGTGTACTTGTCTGTGAGGGCCTTGTACAGGCCGCCGTGGACCCCTGTGCTCTTGCTGAGAACTATCCCACGTGGCTGGCTGTAACAAGCGCCAATCAAAGCACCTGCTCGCAGAGGAAGCGGAACTCTGCAGACCCCTGTCACATGCTGGGGGGACCCTGTTGCTGAGCTGGCTGTGTAACTCTTGTCTGCATCCGTCCTCCACAGCACTCATGGTGACCCTTCCTGTTAGGGAAGTCTGGAAGAACGGTTGGTGGACTCAGCCACAAGCCTCCACGTGCCTCAGTTTCTCATCAGAGACCGGAGTGGCTGACTTGTTTCTCCTCTTGTTCACGTTGTCAAGGGCAAGCCTCTATTACAGTTACGGTGTCCAGGGCAGAGGCCAGAGGTGCAGACGTGGGCGCTCAGAAGCCCGGCAGTGAAGTTGGCAAAGCCGGTGAACCCTGAGGCTGAGTCCCGGCACTCCAGATGGAACCGGCTACGACATCGGTAGTGATCGCCAGCCCCCAGCTTTCTATTGTCTTATAGTCCAGCAGGCGGAGACATGAGTGAGATGGGGGACCCTTCAGATTGTGTCCCCCGGGATTCAGTAACTGGAGCACAGGGCCAAGGAGCGTTGCGGATTCTGTCTTGGGCACAGAGCGGACTTGATGCTTAAACCCTTTTCGCTGTATTGGGTGTTGCCGGCCCACCGTGTTCCAGCAGAGGGCTCCTCTGGATGGGAAGACATGCCAGGTGAGGCTCAGAGGCAAACACAGCTGTGCTGCAGTCACTTGTAGTAAGTAGGAAGCAGACAGGGTGTGCAAGCGCGGAGCTTCCAGTCTTCACCGGAGACTTTCCACGGTGCTCTAAGCTCACTGTGCTGACTAAATGTTACCATCAGTGACTTCTGATTTATTTTAATCTCTTCCCCTTGAACTTAAATGGCCACGTTCAGTGAAGAGCAGGCCACTGGTCCTCTACCCATCTCTTCACCTTGGTAACTTCAGCGATGGCACAGTTCAGCTCCTACAGGATTCGTATTTCTAAGGCGTGGCTCCCTGCCCCTTGCATGAGTGGCAGGCCTGAGCTGCTGCCTCTGAGTCCCCACCCGCGCCCTTCCCATCTTGGTTCCATGACAGGGTTCCGGATGTGCACCCCAGGCAGGTAAATGCTCTTCCAGTGCTGATGCTGAGGTCTGCTGCGCTGGGAGGAGGAACCGTTTAGCTGAGTCCCTGCAGGGTTCTTCCTTCACCTGCCGTTCCATTTTCCAGCCCACTTATATCCCATCGCCGCCAACAGACGCGTAAAACATGTTCTGCTGCAACCAGGCACGTCGGCAATCCAGGAGGTGGGCTCCCAGAGGTCCCAGGCACGGAGCATTAGGCGGCAGGCCAGCAGGTTCCCATCCCAGAAAGCTCTCCATCTCATTAGTTTCTCCCTGTACAGCAAAACGCATGGCCATCTAGGTTAGAGCAATCAGGGCAGAATTGCTTGTGGTTGTGATGGGAGCTGCGCTAGATTCCCGAGGCTTTAGACAATGTTGTTCCGTGAACTGTGGCATTTTAAAGTAGGGCTGGCTCGCATGGCAATTGTGTTTGTCCAATGCCTGCAACCTTGCTTTGTCCTGAATGGGAAACATGCAGGTGTCGGCCTCAGCACCTTGGCAGCCTCCAGGAAGCCCTTCTCTGGGCTTAACAGGAAAGCATGGCATGTTCAGGGCGTAAGCAGAAAGTGTATTTTGCTCGGCTATGAATCCTGGCAGGGGCTTAGACAGTCAAATAGGATCTGAGAGTTGAAGGAAAAAAAAAAAAATCTTTTCATCTGTAAAGTTAACAAACTGGATCTGAGACTTAGTCGTGGAAGGGACCAGAACAGGAGGGCCCGTGTGGACGGATAAGCAGTGAATTACTTCTCGAGGCTGTTATCGATCTCACTATTCATTCAGTGTTCAGTGGTTCATCCGTTTTTCTGATTGGAAGAAAGTGAGGCCGTCGTTGGATGGGTCGATGACGGTTGGGCTTCGTGTTCACGGACTCAGTAACTGATCCCTGTGAACGCCCGGGTTCAGCTCAACACACGGAGGATCTGCTGACTGCCAGTCACAGTTAGGACTGAGATCCGTCCCTGACACCTGGCTTGCAAAGGGTGAAGAGTGGGCACTTAAACATCATTTCAACAGAGACAAAAGATGAAGGCAGCTTCAGAGGGGGTCTCAGTCAGCCTGAACCGTGGTTTGAGTGCAGCGTAGAACCTTGCAGGTAAGGGTAGACTCTGGTTGAGTTTGGTTTCTCCCTCTGGAGACAGTGACTATATCCCCACGTGAGTGTATTTCCGGCTTATGGAATTGGACAGGGAGTCTGGGACTGGGCTTCAAGAAGCTGCATGGCCTGAGATCTGGGCCTGGGAAACACACTGCTGGAGAAAACTCAGGCAGCAGAAGGAAGGATTAGGGGCCTGGAAAGGCCAGTGTGTGTGGATGCTGCCCGCAGAGCGGGCCGGTGTGCTCCCCTGTCACGTTTCCACCCTTGAGGACACGGACAAGCAATGACAAGGCAGACCTTTCTGATGCTCAGCCCAGTGTTTAAAATCCAACCTTATCGCGTCTCCCCTTACACCGCGTAGGTTCCTGATAACTGTCTTGCCCAGCTCTTGGAACAGTAAGCATGAAAGATGATGATGACATGGCCGACCGTCCTTACGGGCAGGCTCTGTACCTTCAGACGGAACCAGCTGTGGCCAAAACATTTGGGGAAAATCTGATTCAGGAGGGAGAGGCAGGAGGCCAGGGAGGCCAGGGCCCAACCTGCTCTTCATAACCACAAAACAAAGCAGAACTCAGCACTGAATCTGCCCAGGCTACTTATATAGCATGTGCATCCCTGTACATTATTGTAAGCAATCTAGCAATTATTTAGACGTGAGGACACATGTAGATCATATGTAGACATGCCGTTTTCTAGAAGGCACTTGAGCATCTACAGATCTTCCTCTCCATGAAGGGGAGGGATATTGGCCCCGATTTCTCCCTTACACTGTGGGGTTTAGGAAGTCTTATTTTTGAATTCTCCTTCCTCCAACTTAATTTTTTTTGCTTAAAATGTGAACTAACTTCCTCCCCCCCCTTCCCTCCCACCCTCCTCCCTCCCTCCTTCTTTCTCCTCCTCCTTCTTGTATGTGTATGAAGTTTCCTGAAGAGGCAGAAGAAGGACTCAGAGTCCCTGGAGCTGGGGCTGGAGTTACAGGTGATTGTAACCCCTCTGGGAACTGAACACGGGGACCTGGAGGAGCAGCAAGAGCTCTTAACCACTGAGCCATCCCTTTAGCCTCAAACCCCTGATCTTCCTGCCTCTTCGTCTCCCATTTGTGCTATGGGTGTGTGTCCCATGACAATAGACCTGAGTGTAGTTGTTGACTGCACCCATTCCCCGCTCTGCTAAAGACAGATGCTACACATTGAAACCAGGAAGAGAACACTATGGCTGCCTCTCAAATGCACACACAGACGCCGTGTAGCTGGATGGAACACAGAGGTCCCTATACCACAGCTCCGATATAGCCGGTAAGCAGAGTGGCCACGTTGTACCAGCAAGGGTCCCTTAATAAGACCCCAGAATGCACTGCGAGTGTGAGTGACCCCTGTTGCTGGTTGGTTTACTAAAGACACCAGCTTTTAGCTCCAAGTCATAAATCAGGTGTTGCTTTATTCAGAAACTGCCTGTTCAATGTTACCACCCACCATACAGCCATACTCCCCCCTCCCTTCCGCACAAAGGGAGAACATATTTCTGCCTTGTAGCATGGGGCTACTGACCCTGTGAGGCCTTGAAAAATTTGTTTATTCCATTCACCAAAATGCTGTGAAAATAGTAAGGTAGTGAATGGTGATTGATGAATATCAAAACACAAATAATGCTTGTAATTGCAATTTAAAGAGGAATGCTATCCGCTTTGATTAATCTGACCCTCTGGGCCACCCTCAACAGAGAGGCATGGTAGAATGCTAATCAGGAAGAGGAAGGAAGGAACTCCCCAGGTGTCCAGCTCTGCCTGGCTTTCTCCAAGGCCACCCTCTGCTCTCTCCAACCCTTCCATCTTCTGGGCTGGAATCTGAAACAGGCCCTGGTCAAAGCGGCCGAATTACAGCTTCATCCTCACACTCCACTTTTTGGAGCTGTTTCCACTTAGGGAGCCTCCTGAGTGGTACTTGGAACACAGCCCTAGGCAGTTTTAAAGCACTGTGTGCCCATCAGTGGCTTGATGAGCTGGCTAAGCAGTCACACATTGCTAGACAGAGACCTTGAAAGGTCAGCCACGTCCCCCACCTGCCAGCAAGTCTCCTTTGCTGAGGTGCCTGCTCTCTCTGCTTTCTGGCCATCCTGGGACTTCCTAGTCCTCTAGTGCAGCCTCTCAACTTCTCCTTGTTTCTGCCAACCTCACACTGAGCCTGCAGAGAGAGCCACCCTGCTGATAAGCCCTTTAGACCTCAGAGGGTTCCACCTCCCTTTTGTTCGGCAGCAGCAGCAGCAGCAGAGTGGCAAGGACATAGTCCACAGGCCTGAGCCAGGAGGCATGTCTTCTGGCTGTCCATACAGAGTCTGGTGTGTTACGATAATTTCTGTCCTGCCTCCCTTGGAAGGTCAGGCCGCAGTACACAGTAGTGGTGGAGAGGGCAAGCAGGGGCATGGGTTCTGGGCAGATCTGTGGCCAGCAGGGCCTTTCACCTGCTAGTTACAGCTCCCCCCAAAGGCTGTCTTCGGAGTTTCTGGTTGCCAGAGCTGATGGAGGCACTGAACACCTCTGTATCCAAGAGGGATACTGACCACGCCCAGAACCTGCGGTTCATCTAGGATTCTCAAGATGGAGAAAGAAAGCGTTTTGTGCACCGTACCTTTGTATCCAAGAGGGATGTTGACCACGCCCAGAACCTGCTCACCATCCTTCACTTCTGCTCTAACGTGAGTCGGCTTGAGGTCAACCACCGTTATGACATCCCCTTTGGAGAACGACAGGTTGTCTAGTGACCCTGAAAGACAGTATTTGCCACGGGAAAAGGACAAAAACAAACTACTCTTAGAGGCTGAAGTTACATCCAGAGATTTGCATTTCTTCAGGTAAATGAAAGCTCTAAGTAAAATGTGTAAACATTTAAGTTAAATTTGTTAAATATGACGGAGAGGACAAATGGAGGCCTCTCAGCGAATACAGATGAAAGATGGCTGGGTAAGCCAGCATCCTTTAATGGAGGCAGACTCTTCACTACATCAGCATATGCGATTCACTTTAAAGTTAAAAATACCAGAAGTATTCCCCCCCCACACGGAAGTAGTCATCATGATTTGCCTTGCCTAGTGGGAAATGGCCATCCCTGCCATTTCCAGCAGCAAGCCCTATTTTCCCTGCCCTAACAATGCAGAGAAAGTGCTAGATGGCTTCTCTGATGGCAGAGTGCTTGCTAACCACAGGAAAATGCCGGCAGCATTGACATGATATTTTTTGGTTATCACCAAGCCAACAAAAGACAATTTTTCAAGCTCATGCTTATCTATGCCTTAGATTTCACGTGTCAAATTGCGGTAATTTCTCAGGAGAGTGAAAAATATTCACTGCTCAAAAATAGCATTTCCCCCCTTCCTAGGCAATATTGGTGAATTGCTCCCTCCTTTCCCAGCCTCCTGTCAAGTTAAAAAAATAAATAAATAAAACAACCCTTCAAACGGCAGAAATATGACAACCCATAGCAAGGAGCATTGCTAGGCTGTGTATTTCATTCTGCCCAGGGCTAAGGGAAATACTTTAACAAGTAAATATATGTCTTCCATAAACAGAATGTTTTCTTGCTCTTTTCTAATACTCTACCTTCTTGGCAAAGAGTTTCTTTTCCCCTTTATGGTATTTTAGCAAGAGGTAAGTACAATTTTTTTTTCAAGGTAGGAGATTCTGGTAGAATAATGCTTGATTCTCCTTGCCCTAGCATCTCCAGACATTATTATCTGGATAGAACATGACCCCACATCCACTCCCGTTCCTGACGTCTTGCAACCAGGATGGAAAGGAAGCCTACATCTTTGGAATGTTCCAGCTTAAGCTTCTCCTGATCCCAGAATTCTCTCTCTCTCTCTCTCTCTCTCTCTCTCTCTCTCTCTCTCTCTCTCTCTCTCTCTCTCTCTCTGTCTCCCCTACCTGAAAAATAGTTTCCATCAGTCACCTCCACTTGTCTGGGCAAGGAGTTCTGATTTAATGAATTGATGTAAGAATCCCAAGTTTGCTCCATGACGACGACGGGGTTGTTTCTCTCCTACAGGACATGGCTAACACTGCTCGTAGCAGTGAGCAGACAGCAAAGCTGTCTCTTGTGAGCAGGTGACCAGCCACCTGATCACGGCCTGGACTGTGAGGTCATAGGGGGAAGGAGGAAGTAATTAACTAACTCTTCATTGGTTCAATGTCCAAGTATTGGGAGGGGCAGGTTCCTGATTGATTTGGATGAATAATTTTCTGGGAAGGCTGGCTAGGCTCATTGGGAGTATCTTCTAGATCAAAGTATTCCATGCGGCATCATGCACAACGTCACCCAAGTGTGTCATCACAGCACTGATTCTGTAGGTGGGGTCTGGTCATCTGCATGTCTGGCAAGCCTCCAGATGACACTTGCTGGTCCTTCAACCACCTTCTGAGGAACAGGATGTTAGGGATACCAGCATTGCTTGGGTTATATGCATTCGTGATAAATTCTGAATCACCCAGAATGCACAGGTGTCGCATTAGGGAAAGAAAGAAAAGCACTTCCCCTTGGAGTCATTCAACCAACCGGGAAACAGATTTGAAATCTCTACTTCCTGCTCCTGTGTCTTCGATCCTCTGTCTGCTGTGAGCCTGAATCTGTGTCTGTCTGGAGAGGAGGTTTCCTGTGGCTCTGCCCATGTGCCTGAGTCTTCCGTCAGTGTGTGTCTGTCTCCAACACCTGGCTTCTGCTGTGTTTACTGAACAGCTCAATAGCATCACGTGTGGGATGGAGAACGGGACACTTTTAGACATCTTTAACAGAGTTTTGCAAGGGAATAAGTCATTGACTCCAACTGATCCCAACTGACCCAGACAACAGACACCATTGTTTATCAACTAATATCCATGAGCGGCCGCTTTCAAATTTTATGGTGGATTTGAGGGAGTTGCTTTCAAGTTCTGTATTTGCTGCTTTCAGTAAATGATACATTGGCATTATCAGGGGCACGGAGGAGCACATAATTTAAGATTACAGCGGTGCATTTGCTTAGGCTGTAAAAGTCGATTGCATGGGAAATCCAAGGTGAGTAAGGCTGATTGTTGCATTGTTTTCTTAAAGGCAGGTTAAGCAAATGCCTGGAGTGCGCAGTTGGGCAACCGGCTTAAGTGGCCGCACGGTGTATTGTTAACTCTGGCTGTGAGGTCCAGCAAAAGTTCCAGTCTCTTAGAACGTGAGGTCTGTAGGTCAGCACCCTCAACTTCACCTGAGAGACCGAATACAGGTCAACAAGCCACTCCTAACCTATCAAACGTGACTGTCCAGGTATGGGGTCAGGTAAGCTGTGGCCCTTGGTTGGACAGCATCTCTGTCATCTACCAGCGTGTTGAGGGTGCAGACTCAGGCTCCACTCCAGGTATCTTGAACCAGAGACCTCACTTAAGCATCTTCCACCGTTGATGGAGTTAATAAAGTTTGACAGAAACCACTGGACAAGCTTGAGCAGTTAGTATTTCAGACGGCAAACACATTCCAAGCCTTGGGAGTGGCTGTGGACACCCCAACTACTCAGAAGTGAGCGTCACCATCCTGCTCTCCCCAGGTCTGAGTCCTAGTGGGCCCCATGGGCCACATGCTCCACCCACCGCAGCCCACTTCACACAGGGCTTTTCCCTCTTCCTTATCTGATTGGAAGAGTAATATCCATTGAGAGAATAAAACTGTAAGGAAGAAATGTACAGTCTCCCATACCTCCCCTCCCAGAGGGCCACCATTGATTCAGAGTTTGGAATGTTTCTTCTGTCTCTGCTTATATGTGTCTTTCAGATACCGTGGTTCTTTTTGCTTGATTTCTATCAGGTCCAAAGGAAACGCCATTTCCCCAAAGTCTGGCAGTTAGACACAATCCAGCAGTCCTCAGGGACCTGTGAAGCCCTTTATCACGGGCAGAAGGGTAAGTGGCCCTCTGTGGTGCCTGTCAGCACACCAGAGCACCTGCTGGCCCCCAGGCTCCTTCGGTATCACAAGTCCCGGCTGTGCGTGTGACCCTGGCATCCTGGCTCTTCTCTGCTCTGCTCCAGCCCTCTCCAGCTCATGGGCTTTCCTCCTCGCGGCCACCGGTTCTTGTAACCCTGCCCTTCCCGCTGTATGCCTTTTTTCTTTTGACCTTTGCCCTCCTTTCTCGCCTCCCCACTCACAGCCAGGGCCAGCTGGTATTATTTTAGGCTTTAAAAGGACTCTATCGGCACAATTTTAATTCCTATAAATTCCTAAGTAGTAGCCACTAATAAACTTTTGTGTGTGTGTGTGTGTTGCTAATGTTAGACAATAGGCACTTAAAAAAAAATCTTCTTTCTATATGTGCAAAAATCTTTATATTCATCTCACCGCTTTTGGAGCAAGTCCTACAAGTGTTAATTATAGTAATTACTGAGCTAAATGGTTTTTAATACTTCTCAGGCTTTTGTTATCTATTGCCAAGCTGCTTTGCGCAAAGTTTGAAAGGTTGAAACTCTGGCTGGTAGGTCAGGGTACCCGCCTTCCTCTCCAGCTCTGAGAACTGTCGAGTTTGGAATATTTGCTAGTGTGGAAGAAACTACCCTGGCATGGTTGCTACCTCCCTGCCTCCTCAGTGGGGATGAGCCTCCATTCACGGTGTAGCCATGACGCCACAGAGAACTAGAGAGATTCAGGCATCCGGAGGCCGTTTAGCTTTCCCTATACCTGCTTCCGGAGCTCTCCCCATGCCATGGGATATTCATGGCCATTAACCTTTTGCGGCTCTCTCGAACATTCCTTGGGGTGGTCTGAACTGTTCCCAGAGCAGCTCTCGTGTGATTCAGGGCAGCATCTGGATTTAACTCTGCCCATAGGCAACTGTTGTCAAGCCTACCTGCACTGCTCCGGATAGCCTACTTCTTACCTGTGGGTTTACAGTAGGTGTCGGATGGCCCTCTTGTAATCCTGTGGTGAGTGTGTGTGTGTGTGTGCACATGCGAGTTTCTAAATCCAACAGTACCATAGCCAGGTGGACAAGCTTCAGTGAGGAAAGGGCGCTTAGTTTAGCTCTGCTTCCCTGTCGGTCAGATGTTGCCACCCTTCAATAACTGCTCAGTTCCACCAGCGGCCCTGGGCTCAGCTCCTCTGCAGTTTCTTTATGGACCTTGCACAAGATTTAAGAAGACACCGTTGCACTCACTTAAACCTCCTGCTGTATGCGTTTATTATCTAGTGGCTTGTTTCTCTCTAGAGCTAGGTTTCCTGGCTGGCATAGGCTCCGGATGCCAATGTCTCCTACATGCTCCCAGATGTTGTTTGTGGCTTGGGCTGGCCTTTTCCGGTCCACATCTCTCCTGAAAGCACAGCCATGACACTAAGGCTTCTGTGGGTGTGTGCTCTGAGCCTGGCAAAAGGAAAAGGCAAAGGGGTGGGAAGCTGGCTTGGGGGGAAATGAGGAGACTCTGCTTTTCTCAGATTAACTATTAGAAATACGGAGAAGTCATGGTCATGGCGTCTGAGTGGTGGTCACTGAGGAGAGGCCCTCACTAGCCAGGCTTCTCCCTGGTGTTAAAGGTCATTCAAAAACAGAAATGACAGCCAGCATAGTGACCCCCTACCCTCCCACCCCCCCTCCCAACCCCCCCACCCCCGGCTGCCAACCCTCAGTCTTATGCTTCTGAGACCACAGTGAGGACCCATGTGTCTGCTACTGGTAGGCTATAGATAAAAGGAATTGTTAGGATTATAGTTGGATTGTATCGTATATGTTTGAGATGAGGGTTCACTCATGAAGGTTGGCCTCAAACACAGCTATGCTGAGGATGATTGAATTTCTGATCCCCCTGCCTCTACCTCCCGAGTGCTGAGATTAGGGGCCAGCCACAAGACACGCATTCGATGCAGTGCCGGGGACTGAACTCAAGGATTAAGGACACTAGACCAACATTGTACCAGCTGAGCCTCACCCACCCACCATTCCAGGATTCTAGTTCCTTGCTCTATGAATATGTCTGTAAACGAATAGCTGTGCTGCTCATAGCGATCACCAAAAGTAATATCTTTTCAGCTGCACAGTTCCAAGAGCAGGGGCTGCACCATAGTCTATTTCCTGTAGCTATAACAAAGTAACCAAGACTGGATAATTTGTAAAGAACAGAAGTCTGTTTTGAGGCTGGGAAGTCCCAGAGCACACCATCCGATGAGGGTTTTGCACTGCATCCAGTCATGGCAGAGTGCATCTCACAGGGAGGCAGGGTCGATGTGCTAGATCAGTGTTGTGGATTAATCCTTCTGCACACCATGAATATATTTACTCTCATTGGTTAATAAAGATGCTGATTGGCCTGGAGCAACACAGGATTAAGTTATGAGGGATGATCAAGCATGAAGCATGAAGAAGGGCGGAGTCAGAGACATGCCAGACAGCAGGATGTGTAGAAAATGAGATAAGAAATAATGAGCCATGTGGCAAAGCATAGATTAAAAAATATGGGGTAATAAGAGTTAGCTAGTAACAAGCCTGAGCTATTGGCCGAGCATATCAAATTAATATAAGCCTCTGTGTGGTAATTTGGAAGTGGCTGCCAGGACAGGAAAACTCTGCCCACAGATCAGGATTCTCCCCATCTTGTAATACCACTAACATTTTCAGGAAGCCACATCACCATGGCCTCTTCTAATTAGTTGCCTCCTATTTTAGTTAGAATTTCTATTGCTCCGAAGAGACACCATAATCACAGCAAATCTTATAAAGGGAACATTTAATTGGGGCTAGCTTACAGTTCCGAGGCTTAGTCCATTTTTGTCATGGTGGGTGGCATGCAGCAGACATGGTGCTGGAGAAGGGGCTGAGAATTCTACATCTTGATCCACAGGCAAAAGGAAGAGAACTGAGTGCCACACTGTGTGGCTCAAAGCTGGCCTCCACAGTGACACACCTCCTCCAGCGAGTTTACACCATTCCCAAAGACTCATCTCAGTAAAGCAGCAAAAATTCATCTAAGCAACGGATGACTTTTTATTATTATTATTATTATTATTATTATTATTAT